TAGAACATGCCTTGATAGATAAAGTTTTTGGGCACTTGGGGTAAGGCATTTATACGCATTCTAGGTTGGGGAATAGCCTGCAAACACGCAAGGAGTTGCCTTAGGCTGCAACTTATTTGTTTTATAAGGCTTCATGAAGGGGAAACATAAGCACCCGAATTTTTCGAGTTTGAGGTAGTTTGGTTGCTGATGAAATAATGCTTCAAATGGTGATTTGTTATGTAGGAATGGTGTTGGCTATCTATTTATGAGGTAGGCTACTGTTGAAAAAGCATAAGGCCAATATGAGAGAGATAAAGATGCATCATGAAAAAGGGTGAGACCCGTTTCAACCAAATGAAGATGACGACACTCGAATACACCATGTTGTTGTGGTGTGTGAGGAGTAGTGGTGTAATAACTTATTCCATGTATTGAAAAATGTTTTTTTAAAGCCACAAATTCACCACCATTGTCCGAGTAGATACTTTTGATTTTTGATTGAAATCGATTTTCAATAAGATCTTTAAATTGAGGAAATATCGTGCTAACCCCGGATTTTGTTTCCATTGGATAAAAATAGATATATTTTGTAAAATGATCAATCAAAATCAAATAATATTGTGAGCCATCAAAGCCAATTTTATTTGAGGGACGTCGGTGTAAATTAAAGCAAGTAGTGCATGGCTTTGAAAGCTATTGATCCGAAATGGTTGTTTGTGCGCTTTGTTGATTGAACAGGAGGTACAAAGAGGAGAACCATGTTCTTCTTTCATTATTGAAAGTGAAATTTTTTTTAACAAGATGATGAACTATTTTATGATACAGATGTCCAAGACGTTTGTGCCACCCATCTATTGAGGTCCGTTCATGTACATTTGCAACCATTTTTGGATAAGCTTTCACCAGTGATTCCGGAAGAGTATAAACACCATTTTCACACGTACCTTTGAGTAGAACCGGCCCCGTGATCTTGTCCTTAACAAGGATAAACAAAGGATGGAATTCAACAAAAAAATTATTTTGTGAGGTAAAGTGATGAACATAAATTAGATTTTTGGGGATATTAGGAACACAGAGTGTGTCATTTAAATGAAAGGTGTGTGTGGGTGATTTGAGAACCAGTGAGCCAATGTGGGATACATGCAAACCTAAACCGTCACCTATGACAACTTCATAGTGCCATCGTATTCAGAGTGAATAGATAAATTGGCCAAGTCACCAGTGATTTTGATTTCATAAAATCAATTTTTGTACAATCAATAAAATAGGAAAAATTTGAGTTGATTTCATCCTCATTGAATGCCACATCCTCATTTGATTCCGTAGTGATCAACTCATCATTTTCTTTAATCCTTTCTTCCATAGTCGACAAATCTTTGGGTTGAATGATCGGTCCACAATCTAAATCCATGAACAATGAGAAGTCAGTCCTGTTGACTCCTTCGAGTGGATTGTATCCCCATTATTCAAATCCTTCCCAGTACATGCAACTTGGCAAGTTCTTTAAAGCACTTTGCATGTACATTCTCATTTAATAGGGGAGGACCATCTCCCACAAGTTTGGATGTCATCATCCCAATCGTCAGGTACAAAATCTCCCACGAGCATGTACTCTTCATCTGATTTTTCAATTACTTGTTTTCTACACATCAAATATTTTCGAAATCTCATAA